GCAGCAGCAGGCTTGGACAGAGATCGGCCGTACGCCGACGTCTGCCGAAAGGCGCCGTCGCTGGCGCCCTCTTTTCGAGGACTGCTCATGTCTCGCATTGAGGGGGTTACCCGGGTTTTCTCCCCAGACCGTCGGAACATCGGTCTCAGCGAAATTTTACCTTACCTTATCTTACGCTACCTTACCCTACGTTACCTTATCTTACCTTACCTGACCTGACCTGACCTTTCCTTACCTCCTCCTCCAGAGAGGACGATGGGGTAGGATAGAACGGCCAGGGCGATGAGCTCTCTTCTTCTCTTCTCCGCGGGTGACGATTAGGAAGAGCATAGTGAAGGATGAGGAAGGGAGGGAGATCTCCCCCTCTTCCTCGTCCTTCCTTCTCAACTGCCTCGTCATCCTTTCTCCTCGCCCTCTCCTCCCCTTCGGCCCCGCCGTCCTCCGCCGTCGTCGTCCTCTTCCTCCTCCTCCTCCTCCCCCTCATCCTCCTCCTCGTTCTCCTCCTCCTCCTCCTCCGCCTCCTCCTCTCCTCCTCCTCCTCCTCCTCTCCTCCTTCCTCCTCCTCCTCCTCCCCTCCTCCCCCTCTTCCTCCTCCTTCTTTTCCTCCTTATCCCGCCCCCCCTCCCCCGTCCGCCTGCCCGCTTTCAGTAGTCATCGTCGATTGGGTTTCGGGTCATGACTCGGGTCTTCGGCGGTCGTTCGGGATTCCAGGCGCCCCCCGGAACGCTCGCGGCGAGGCGCAGCTGCTGCAAAGCATCCCGAGGTTGAAAAGCCGCCGGGAACGCCGAGAACCAACGAAAACGCCTGAAATTCTTGAGCGTCGAACCCACAAACTCCCAAACTCCCGCCCCCCCCCCCGGAGCGCCGCCGGGCCTCAGCGTTCCCTCCCTTTGCCATCTGCTGTCGTCGCCAGATGCTGCTGTCGGCGCTCGCTCCTTTGCGTCCCTCGCTCCTTCGACCCGGCTGAGGCTCATCGAGCGCGTTCCACTACTCGCAAAGTGCCTACTCAGTATTCGCACACGTTCGAAAACAAGCCCCAACAAAAACATGCCTTCTTCTACGTAAGGGATCGCACCCCCCCGCGCGACGGACCCAGGCCGTTTGCGAGTAGGTACTGTGCGAGCAGTGGAACGCGCTTGTCTAGAGGCGCTGCAGTGGACAGAGGAGGACGACATCCTCAACGACACCGAGACCGTCCTCGACGCGCTTCGCGCCGGCGGCGCGGGTGCCGCGCTCGGCGCCGCGGCGGAGGGGGCGGCGCCGCCGCGGACGCCCTGGGCGGGGCCGGTCCTCCTGGTGGTCGCCGTCCTCCTCGTCGGCCCCCTCCTCCACCCCTCGGGGAACGAAGAAAGACATAAACATAAGAACTCGGAGGTCCGCGCGGATTTCTCGGACCGGCGCTGGACCCCCCTCCGTGGCGCGCGGAGCGCGCCAGGAGCAGCGCCGGAGGCGGCGCCAGGGGGTTCCAGCGCCGATCCGAGAAATCCGTGCGGACCTTTCAGTTTTTATGTTTATGTCATTTTTCCTTCCCTTGATCCCTCGTCCTCCTCTGATCATGGCGCCAGCCAGCATCGCAGAGCGGATTTCGCTCGGAGAACACCGGGATGGGCCCAGACTGTCCTCCAGAATTTCGTTCCGGATTTCGAAGTGAATTTCGCGAGGATTTTGTTTGGCCAGGAATAAAGGCTAGTCAAAATCCGCGTGAAATTCGCTTCGTGTTTCGCTCGCCGTTTCGGGGTTCTGCACTGACCGAAGTCCGAACGAAGATCCGCCCCAGCACGTCTGCGAGGTCGGCGCGGCGACCTCTCAGACCCAGGCGCTGCAACAAGAAATGTCGCGACGGCCAGTCTCCCCGTCGTGTCCGGACTCCCGGGGCCTTTGCCCGGCCCCGGGACCGTCAACGCTCGACTCGGGACGAAGAGAGTCGGCCCTGGAAGGGAGGTCGAGGTTCCCGGGGGCCGACGCCACGAGGAAGTTGCAGCGTCGGAGGGGAGGGTCCTCTGGCGTCCTCGTCCTTTTCCTCCCCACCTTCCCCCTCGTCCTCGTCGTCTTCCCCCCCTCGTCCTCGTCGTCGTCTTCTTCCTCCTCCTCCCCCTCCTCCTCCTCCTATCAGCAGGACTTGCCATCATCTGAGCCTGCCTTGGTCAGGGGGGCTCGGTACCAGGTTCGGGCTCAGCGCCTCCAGTCCCGCTGCACTCGAATTGAGGACGAGATTTTGGAGCAGGGGGATTGATTCGAAAGGTTGCGGCCAGATCCACCGGTACAGACTGCAGCTGCAAACCATGTTTCCGTGGCGGCACGGCAGAGGCGATCCGCACGTGCGCTCGAGTTGTCGGGGGCGCACGGCAGGAAGAGGGGCCCGCGGGTCTGCGAGCTGCGAGCAAACAGCAAAAGGCAGAACCCCGCAGGAGGTTTGGGCCCGTTTTCTTTTTCGTATCTCCCGATTGGAAGGCAGACGAATAGGTAAGGGTTTTGCGAGAGTCGGGGATCGGTGCCATTCCCGTCAAAGCCCCCTTGGCCATCGTACACGCGTGTAGACATTGTTCATTTCTAATTGTTCGAGGGTTCTTTGATTTCTCGGGGGGGCCAAGATCTTTTCATTTCTAATTGTTCTATCCTGGGCCTCTTCCTGGCCAGTGGGGGGCCAGGAACAATTAGAAACGAGCACAATTAGAAATGAGCACGATTTGAAATGAACGACGTGAAACTATATACCGAAACCTATACGGGTGACAAGGAGGTTGGAGGGGGAGGGGGGCAGCAATGGGCAACAGTGGTGATTGTTGTTCTGACGAAGCCAGTGGAGATTATTGCGTTGCCGCTCGCTCTTGGGAGCCTTGGTGTCGAGTTGTTTACGTCACCCTTCGCTCTTGGGCGCCTTGGTACCATTTCCCCCCCGGGAACCAACGAAATGATAAATTATTCCGTTAATTTTGCAAGGGCTGGGGGCCTCTTGGGAGCCTTTTTGGACTTCTTGGGGGCCTCTTGGGGCCTCCCGGGAGCTTCTTGGAGTGACCCTTAAGAGCCTCTTCCGCCAACGTTCGTATTGGGAGCCTTGGTGTTCAGAGATTGTTGAGTTGCCGCTCGCTCTTGGCACAGCATACAGCACGGGATGCTGATGTGCCTGACGATTTGCATTTGCATTTGCTTATCGATCTGCATGTCGGTGTGCTTTTCGATCTGCATTTCGATCTGCATTTCGATTTGCATCTCACTATTGGTCTCACTATCTATCGATCCCACGATCGATCTCACTATCGACCACACTATCGATCTCACTCGATCGATCTCACTATCGGTCTCACTCGATCGATTTCACTGTCGATCTCACTCTCGATATCGTTTTAAATCCCAATATCGATCTCACTATCGATATCACTCCATCGATCTCACTATCGATATCACTCCATCGATCTCACTATCGATATCACTATCGGTCTCTCTATCGATCTCACCCGATCGATCTCACTATCGATCTTACTCAATCGATCTCACCATAGATCCCACTATCGCTCTCACTATCGATCCCACAATCGATCTCACCATCGATCCCACTCGATCGATCTCACGATCGATCTCACTATCGATTTCACAATCGATCTCACAATCGATCTCACTATCGGTCTCACTATCGTTTTCGCACCAGCGGGACACCAGGACACCAGCGGGACACGGGCGGGACACCGGCGGGACACCGCGCGGCCCCGTTTGCCGGTCAGGGAACATTTGGTCTGGCCGCGCCTCAGCCACAGGAGACTTTCCTCTCGCCCGCCCACGCAGCTTCGCCTCGCCCGCACGCACGGCACGCACGAACACGAAACCGAAACCGATTTCCCGGTGGGGGGCTCACCCCCCAACCTCCGATGTGTGTATATGTGTATGTATGTATGTATGTATGTATGTATGTAGGTAGGTAGGTAGGTAGGTAGGTAGGCAGGTATCAACATGATATATATATATATATACATATATATATATATATATATATATGTGTGTGTCTACATGCACATACAAACTGACACATTCATACAGGCACATATATAGATAGTTATGTACATGTACACGTGCACATACATGCATACGTATTTAGTTGCATACATACAGACTACACAGCTGCATTCATACATACCTACATACATACATACATGCATACACGCATGCATACATACATACATACATACATGCATACCTGCAAACATACACATGCACATACATACACATACACACATGCATACATGCACACATACAGTCATGCATAGGCATACATGCACACATATATACATAGGCATACATAGGCATACACATACACACGTATAACCATGTATACCCATACATCCGTACATACACATACATGCACAAGTACAACCACACATGCATGTACATATGTATATGTGTATATGTATATGTACGGTTGTTTGTATGTATGTATGCATGCATGCATGTATGTATGTATGCATGTATGTATGTATGTATGCACATCTATGCGTACACACATACATATGGACGTACATGCATACATACACATACATACATCCGTACGTACAATAATGAATTGGTGTTGCGCGCCATTCACTTTCGTCCTTCAGGTTTGGCATGCAGACAGGAGGGCAATAAGGTAGAACGAAGCATTTCGCGATGTCGCGTTGTCGCATGTTCTAGCGTAGCCGTTGTAACAATATTATTCGTGATCTTTCCCTCTTGCTTCAATTTGCTCTTCCTAATTCTCGCCTTACAATTCGAATTCGTCCCCATCCTCTGTTGTTTCTCTGATCTGTTGTTTGTTTGCGGAGTCCCGTCCTGGGAGAGCCTCTTCCAGGCCTCACGAAAGTTTTTAAAGCCATGGTGGGGCCTTCTGGAGGCCTCTGGGGGTCCTCTGTGGGCTTCCCCATGCCACCGTGCTTCCAGCCGCGGTCTCCCTGAACGACCAGGCCGCGACTTGGAATGATTCGGCTGGCGTCTTGGGGCCATCTTGGGTCGTCATGGGGCTCTCTTCGGGCTATCTTGGGGCCCTGTAGGGCCGCCTTGGGGCTCCTCCTAGACTGCCTGGAAGCCCTCTTGGTTACATGTGGGGCGATTCTCTGGCCTCCTGGGCGGTCTCGGACGCCCGGAAGACCGAAGAACAGAGCATTCTCCAAATCATCCCCAAACCATCGTACATCAACGTTCTTTGCGTTTTGAATGCCTCTCGGGCTTTTGTTGGGGGGTCCATCTTCGGGCGGTGGGCGTCTGGTGGGTGTCTGGGGCCATTCGGCCGCCCTCCTGACTGGGCCCGCCGCATCGGCCCAGCAGGGATTTCTCGGGAGCCGAGAGCACATTGGGGACCGTCTGCCAGAGCGCAGCGCGCGCAGCGCGCGAGCCACGCGGCGCAAGCGGTGCGGCGCGAACTGCGCGATGCGCCCGCGGAGGCCCGCCAGGCGAACCCCCGGGATCACCGCCGAGCGCAGGGCGCCAGTGGGCGCCCGCCCGGCGAGACCTCGGCACGCTCACCGAGCGAGGGGGCGCCCGCTGGGCGCCCGCCAGGCGAAAGCCAGGAAGACGCAGCGCCTTCGGGGGACGACGCGCGGTGTTCGCAGCGGTGGCGCCAACTTTTTTCACTCGAGCCAAACTCGTCGTTTAGCCCTTCGTTCCTACCGTTCTCCTCCTCCTCCTCGACCTCGCGCTGCAGCTGTGGGTTGTTCTCCAGGTTCGCCGGCGGCTTCACCAGCAGCTTCAGCTCGGTGTACACCAGCTCTCTCCAGCTTCACCAGTCCTGCATCGCGAGCAGAAGTTCCCCAGCAGCTGCAGCTCGGTGACCATTGGCACGGCCTCTCCACGGCGCGTCTGCCATTCCCGCTTTTGCCGGCGAAACGTCCAGCCTCGTCGAGCTATGTGGCGCCCTCCTCGAGCTGACTCTGGAGACCTGCCAGGAGAGGGCATCGTCACGGCCCACCAGCAGCACACTTGGTCAGGAACAAAGGGCGCGTTCTTCAACCTCCTGCGGGTCAAACAGTTGGAAATATTGAATGTCACTTCCTTGTCCTTCAGAGTTCCTGCGACGTCGACTGCAGGCTCGGATTACTCTCCGAACGCAAGACCACGGCCGCAACAAGACCCGAAAGACAAATGAACGCTTCTGCGCTCAACCCCTTCCGCATCAGCGGGCTTGCGGTCCAAACGCCCCCCCCTCATAAAATTCGAATGGGGATTCCGCTTGCGGGGAGAGCCCTGGGGTGATTCACTCCTTCACTAGCAGTTTTTTAACGAAAGATGACAGACGTGCTCAACATCGGTCTGGTATGGCCCCTGGTTTGGCCGCGCGTCCCGCCTGAGACATCCTCAAATTTGCCTGGTTTGGCACCTGGTTCGGCCTGGTTAGAGCCCGGTTTTGCTTGAGACATCCTCAGAGTGTGCCTGGTGTGGCCTTGGTTTGGCTTGGTTTGGGCCCGTTTTCGTTTGAGACGTCTTCAAGATGTGTATGGTTTCGCCCTGGTTTGACTTGGCTTGGGCCGGTTTCGCTTGAGACGTCCTCACGACAGTTTCGCTTAACACGTCCTCAGACATTGCCTGCTTTCTTCTTCGATTGGCATGTTCGGCCCCAAGAACACGTCACGAAGCTCGCGGAGGGAAAAATCAGCGACTGTCTGCACAGTTGGGTAACACCCGTTATGGTCGCCATGCGGTCTCAACACAGTGGGATGTGTCACGTTTTTGTCGACACTGGTCGGTTCATTGACACGTCGTGGTGGGCGTGTACAAAACGAAGTAATGGCACGGTGCCTTGAATAACTAGTGTGGTCCGCATGTAACGCGATCGCGATGCAATATGGCGGACGGCATGGGTGTTGACATCGCCAACACGTTGTGGATCGGCATGGGCGTGCTCCACGCGCGCAAACATGTTTGGAACCTCTTCGCGCATTGGGGTCGAGGTGTAAACTCTTTACGACAAGCAATCGAAGTAGAACCTGTCAGAAAAAAACAATCGGAATTGTAATATTCCGCGCGTTTAGCAGAGATGGGCTTGTGAACGCGAGAAAGAGAGAGATAGAGAGAGAGGGAGAGAAAGAGAGAGAGAGAGAGGGAGGGAGGGGTCCAGGTCGACGCGGGGGAGGGGACGAAACAGAAGAAGAGAAGGAAAAGGAGGAGGCGAGCATAACAGGAACATGCGATGACTGCGTTCGCCCCAGCCTCTTCCAGAGCCCCCATGCACCCCGAATGGGTGTCGAATCGAAGAGCGTACTCATGATACAACTTGTATCGCCGATCTTCTTGTTGTCATCACGAATGACAAAACGGCCGTATCAGATTCGTCTTCAGCATCGTCGTTTTTGCGCTCCACCTCACTGTTACCCCTCCTCCCGTCCTCCTCGTATCCCTTCTCCACCGCCTTCTCCCCCCTCCTCGTCCTCGTCCCTTCTGCTTCTCCTTGTCCTCGTCTTAGTCTCTCCTCGTCATCGTCTTCGTCCATCCTCGTCCTCGTCCTTCCTGCTCCCCTCTCCTCGTCCTCGTCCCTTCTTTTCCTCCTCCACCGCCTCCTGCCCCTTCTCATTCCGCTCCTCCTCCTCCTCCTCCTCCTCCTCCTCCTCCTCCTCCTCCTCCTCCTCCTCCTCCTCCTCCTCCTCCTCCCCCCTCCTCCCCCTCCTCCTCCTCCCCGTCCTCCTCCTCCTCCTCCCCCTCCTCCTCCTCCTCCTCCTGGCCCTCATCCTCCCGCCCTCAGTCCTGCCAGGATGTGGAGCGCCTCCTCGCAGGGGGGGCGCGTCGCGCAGGACGCCTTCGCGCCCAAGGCGGGAAGGGGGCGCCACCGGAGGAAGGGATGGGGGAGGAAGAGGGGACGGAGCAGAAACGCAGCGGGGAGGAGGAGGAGGAGAAGGAGAAGAAAAAGGAGGAAGAGGAGTTGGATGCAGGGGAGGGGGAGGGGGAGAGGAGAAAGAGGGGGAAGAGGAGGGAAAGGGAGATCGCGTGGAGGAGGAGGAGGAGGAGGAGGAGGAGGAGGAGGAGGGGGAGGACGAGAAAGAGGAGGAGGGGGAGGCGAAGGCCAATGAGGAGGAAAAACGGAACAGTGGAAAATGGCGGGGGACGATTTTTGAAGAGGAGGAGAAGGAGGATATGGAGAACATGGAGAAACATTCAAAATATGAGGGTGGCCCGTTCTTATACACTTTTCCCGTGTAAGCGATATCCGTGTCCATCGCTTGCCCAGTCGCTTCGATGAAAACACCATCAATTCCAAGCTCTCTTCCTCCTGCCAGGCGAGGTACGTATGTTTCTTGTCATGTTGTTGTTATTATCTGTGGGACTTGCTCATGGAACCTAGAGAAGCGGGATACAGGGAGTAATCAACAGGAAATGTTTTGCCGCCGGCGATTTATAAGCGGCTGTTCGGGGGAGGAGACATGTGATGTCCTCTAGCTTTGGTTACCTCTTCCAAGCATCCACCTAGCCCCCCCCCCCCAGCGAGCTTTTTTAAGTTGTCCATGCCCTGGTAGATTTGCTGCGGCCCTTCAGATTTCTCCTGTCGACCTCTATTTCGAGCTAAATCGTTCCGCTCATCCCAGCCTCCTTTGAACTTCGCCCATTAATAGTTGAAATCGCGCCGTTCGTTTGTGCCGTTGTGCTTGCCTCTGGGTCCAGGGCTGTGGGGGGAGCGGGTGATGGTCGGGGAATGGAGGGACGAGAGTGGAGTAGAGAAGAGGAAGGTGGCGAGTAGCAGCGGATATTGCTTCAGAGCGCAACGCACGGCTGTCCAGATGGACCCGTTGAGATTCGCTGGTGACTTGCTGCGTGAATGCCTGGCACATCCTGGACTTCTTTTGGAGGCCTAGAGGTTGACACCAACACCAATATCGGCGTTGTGCCTCCACCGAGGGAAGAGTATCACAATTTCGGTGATGGTGGTAATATGCTGGCCTCCTGGGCGGCCGAAAGATTACCACCAACACCGAAATCTAGGACCACCTTCCCCTGGTGGAGGCAACCCCCTGTGTTGGTGTTGGTGTCATTTCCAAGCCTCCACTTCTTCGCCGGAGCCACAGACAAGAAGTTCGGGGGGGCTGGGCGCCCAGGCCTCCCCAGAGGTGGCCGCGCGGCGGGTCGGTGCGATCTCATTGGCAGGGCAGGTCTTCGCAGGCTCCACCTTGCCCCCCTGCCAGCGCCAACGCGGCTGCTCTTCCAACGAGATCGCGACCCCCCCCCCCCTCCTCCTGGCCTCCTGGAACTGCTGCTCGTTGGCGCGACCTCCCCCCCCCTCCTGGAACTGCTGCTCTCGCGGCTGCTCCTCCCGGGCCTTTCCCGACCTCCCGGCGCACCCTCGCGGGGATGGCACCCGCACGAGTGCGGGGCAGCGCTGTCGGGGAGGTTGCTGCCTCCAATCCCCCCGCCCCCCTGTGTGAAGCTCGTCCCTTCGGCTCCTGCCACCAGGCTGTGGAGTACATCGGCGACGCGGGGGACCCCGCGTCCGTCGCGCAGAGCTGCATAGGCTTCACCTGCCACAAGGGTGTGAAGCCGAGGGGCCTGAAGGCGCCCAACCAGGACTCCTTCTTCGTCCTCCACGTGGAGAACCGCCTGTCGATGTACGGCGTTTTCGACGGGCACGGGCTGCACGGACACGAGGTGTCCGAGTTCGTCAAGTTGCACCTCCCAAGGATGGTCGTCAAGGACCACAGGTTCGGAACCGCCGACACGGCGGCCGCTCTGCGGGACGGCTTCCTGAGGACACAGGCCCTGATCGAGAGAGCATTCCACCTCGACAGATTGAACGCGAGCGTGTCTGGCACCACCGTAACGCTCGTCGTCCACGACCGGGCCGCGCGGAAGCTGACCGTGGCAAACGTGGGCGACAGCGCCGCTTGCATCGGGAGGGTGCCGGCTGGCGGTGCGATGCAGACGGAGGCGCTGAAGATCACAGAGGACCACAAGCCCGAGATGGAAGAGGAGAGGCAGAGGATAGAGAGGTCGGGCGGCACTGTGCTGTACGATGGTTATGTGAACCACAGGGTGTACGTGAGGAACGCGACCTATCCAGGCCAGATCCTCCCACTCGACCCCGTCCCATCTTCCCCCTCCTCCCCCTCGCCCGCCCCTCCACGCTCCTCTCTCTCTCTCCCTCCCCCTCATGTTTTTGCATTGGGCGGACATGAAATGCTATGCTTGCTGCGTCCTTCAGCGACTCGAATTCTTATAGGGACGGGCGCAAAAAAGTTCCCAAGAGGACGAGTGCGAGAGGAAAAAAGCGTGAAGCGCGGCAGTAGTGCTAAATAGAGCGCGAACTGGCGAGAAAGTTGCATCAGTAGAGCAACGACCCAGAGTAAGCACAGTGTCCTTCCCCCTCATTATTCAGGAGGGGAAAAACACACAGACACAATTACCTAACCGTCGGTCCCCAGGGAGATATGCGAAAATATGGGAAATGGGGGGAAAGACGAAAATCCAGAAAATATGAGAAATATCGGGAATATGAGTATTTGTGTGTGCCTAGCTCTTAAACGGAAGAGGCTCGCTCTCGACCCGCAGACCAAAAAAGTGTGTGTGTGTGTGTGTGTGTCTGTGTGTGTGTCTGTGTGTGTGTGTGTCTGTGTGTGTGTGTGTCTGTGTGTGTGTGTCTGTGTGTGTGTGTGTGTCTGTGTGTGTGTGTCTGTGTGTGTGTCTGTGTGTGTGTGTCTGTCTGTGTGTGTGTGTCTGTGTGTGTGTGTGTCTGTGTGTGTGTCTGTGTGTGTGTGTGTGTCTGTGTGTGTGTGTCTGTGTGTGTCTGTGTGTGTCTGTGTGTGTCTGTGTGTGTGTGTGTCTGTGGTGTCTCTGTGTGTGTCTCTGTGTGTGTCTCTGTGTGTGTCTGTGTGTGTCTGTGTGTGTGTCTGTGTGTGTGTCTGTCTGTGTGTGTGGTGTCTGTGTGTGTGTCTGTGTGTGTGTCTCTGTGTGTGTGTGTGTGTCTGTGTGTGTGTGTGTGTGTCTCTGTGTGTGTCTCTGTGTGTGTGTCTGTGTGTGTGTCTGTGTGTGTCTGTGTGTGTGTGTCTGTGTGTGTGTCTGTGTGTGTGTCTGTGTGTGTGTCTGTGTGTGTGTCTGTGTGTGTCTGTGTGTGTCTGTGTGTGTCTGTGTGTGTCTGTGTGTGTCTGTGTGTGTCTGTGTGTGTGTGTGTGTGTTCCAAGGCGATGTAGCGATGTATGGGATGCAGGTCGTGGCGAGGCTGGCGGTAGGCGTCGGCCCTCGTCCTCGATCTGTTTTCCTTGCACCACTGAGCCGCTTGGGGTTCGATCTGAAACCGAAGGACCGCCAGCGCTTTCTTGAGCGTCCATGCGAGAAGAGCGGGCTCCCCTGGGGCTCGACCTCGAGCCGCACGCGCCCACGGGAAGAAAGTGTGTCCCTCCGCGCTGGGAACTGATACAGCGCAATAGGGTCAGACTCGACTGTGAGAGTAAAGTCGTCATCAGCAAATCCTGTCCGAGCGGGCGTCGGGTACACACCTGAGTGGAGTAGGATGGTTCAGGTCCTCAGGAGGGAAAGGGGGAAGTGCACCCGCGCCCAACTACAGACCTCCCAAGGTCGGGGCCAAGCACACTGACAGTGCCTCAAAACACTGAACCCAACGGAGCACGAGAGACGTCAACGGCCCAAGTGGGGCAATCCCCACCAAGGGATTTTTTGGAGCGGGGGGGGGGAATAGAGAGAGAGAGAGAGGAGGCGAGGGGAGGAGAGGAGGGGAGAGGGGACCAAAAAAAGAAACCCACCTTGGCTATCGGCCTAGAGCGGTCCTGACAGCTGCTCTCACCCCCTTCTGGTTGATCCCAAGGGCGAAAATACCTGCCACAAGACTACCTGCCATCTTTTGTGAGAAAGTCGGGAACAAAAGCGGCGCCACCTGCCCATTGAGCACACGATATTCGTAGAAAATCGCGGAGACAAACTCTGAGACAGGCGACCCACAGCCGACTGAAGCACATGAAGAATATCCAACAATCAGCCCTAGGATAAAGATCATCATGTACAACACGAACTGATTCTTCACAAAAGAGTGCCCCACCTCTGGAGCATAGATCTCAGCCTCACACATGTCTAAGAGATTCTCCGCGGTCCCTCAGGTGAGGTTCTGGTAATACTTCCACAAAGCTGAGATCTTCTCATCCTTACGCTTGGGCTCCGTGATCTTCTGCTTCTTGAAAATCTTGCTCGTTATCTGGGATTGCTTGCGATTGCCCCAGGAACTGGAGAACGTTTCCTTGAACGTAGACTCTTTCCCATCCGCCAGCTCGAAGATGTTCTCAAACTGCGTCTCCACCAGCATACGCTTGATGTTCGTGAGGTCCCCGTCATCAACCGTGCCGGTGACCCCTGGCGGCACGCTCCCGCTCGGGGCCGGGGCTGGGCTCGCCGCCGTGGACGTCCCTGGAGACGGCGGCGGACCCGTACCACCCGCACGCGGAGGCGTGTGGGCCACGATGCTGTTCTCCTGGAACGCGCGGTCGATCGACTCCTGCATTGCCCTGGCCATGATATCCCCCTGGCGGCGAACCTCGATGTCACGAAGCTCCTGCTCCCGCTGGTCCATGAATGCGGCGTACGACGGGTCGTGCTTGTACATCCACCTCTTGTGGCGCTCCAGACGGCGTGCCTCGTGGTTGTTCCTCGATCCTGACGAGGAGCTCGAACGGGTACGGCGGCCCCTCCATCGGTCACGATCACGGTCACGATCCTGCTGGCCACGGTGGTAGTCCCTGTCTCGGTCACGATCCTCCCGAGACCGACTTTTCCCCCCATCGTGGAACCCGCGGCCTGCACCACCCTTGCCCATGAGGCCAACCTTCCGCCTGTCAATCTCCGCAGTGGCCCGAATCCAAGATCGGAGACTTTCTCGAGCCAAACGGACGGCGGGATGGTTGGGCAAGGAGTGCGTTAGTGCCCTCAGGAGGTACTGAAGGTACCCAAGAAGGAACAGCTCCAAAACATACTCTTGGATATGCAACAGGGTGGTGAGGCGTCCCAGCTGCAACCGACGAGCACGGAACATATGGCCAATCAGGATTCCTCGGAGGACGCCGATCGGTGTGGGTAGTGCACCGACCCAGGCAATGGTATTAGTCCGAGCCCGCTCACGAACCTCTGGCCATTGATACAGCCACGGACGGTTCACATGTTTTGGAATAACCTGCAAGCTGTAACCCACCACTCGGCACGAAGAATCAATCCAATCAAACGGTACCCCAGACGGTCCATCAGAAGTAGATACTACACTCAAGGGCTCCTCGAAAACCCCTTGGAGTTACAACACCATACAAGAACAGCATAAACCAAGACTCCCAGCTAATAGATCATCAACATAGCGACTCCAGTTGATCGTTTTTTTAGGATCCCCAGGAAACTGACATCCAGGAAGTCCAGACGTCACGACACTTTCTCGGGCACGACCTTCTTCCGAACCTAGCTTGACCGAAACAGCTGCAGCCGACATTACTCCACCTATAGCCATCCCAGCCATTTCCAAAGCCACCTCGCCCATCATCACTAAGGTCTGATACGAAGCCATAGCTAAAGCCCTCCGAAGCACGGTTAGCGACAAAGCCCACCAGCCACGACCATACTGTCTCGCATCTGCCCCGTGCTTGGCGATGAACCGTTTTCCTCTGCGAATCAGAAGACGCTTCTGGCCTCCACTCGCACGATATTTACGTGCGACATATTCCCATGCGGGGATGATTGAGCTGGCCTTGCAGCTCTCAAAAGCTTGGTCGATGTCCACGGTCACTACGTGCAGCCCTGGGTCCATGCTGCGCTGGCAACACATACATACAGACGGATTCGATGGGGCCTCCAGCGACAACAGTGTCTCTGTCAGGTGCTTCCTGGCACAGTTAATGTCGAAAACCTCACGTGAAACTCCTGCTTCGCGCACAACTGAGCGGATCCCCCCCGCGGCCATTTTCCAGCCCAGCGCATGCGGGGCCCCTGACATGTCCAGGATCCGACGCCAATGTGAGTGCCCCTCCTTACACGTGAGCCCCCCTTCATCCGAATAGCATTTGCTTTTGACCAACGGAATCAACAGCATTGGAAACAACTTCCGTCCAGGACGGCCAGGTCGACTACATAAAAACCACGGCAGGCCCAACTGAGCCCTGGCATATCCCCAGACTTCAACCTGCTTGTAGGTCAACCCCGCACGGATGTACCAGAGCGGGTCCTCCAAAACACCCCTGGGTAGCGTCCAATTCAGATCCGTACGGTTCAGAATCCACACTTTGGCGGGGTTCCGATCGTCCCCAACACGGAATGTGCCAGGGGATAGGGATTCTTTCATCCGGGCTTCCCACCTGGACCAATCACTTGGCGGCGGTGCGGCACCTGTTGGGATAGCCTGGGCACGGCATTCGGACCAAACTTGTCGACCCCGACGGAGAAGCCGAAAGGGAAGCCGAACACGACGGGCCCACTCAGACCACCGAGCATTGCATTGCCGCCAAAGCGTTTCAGGTGTGTGCCACACGGGCAAGAGCCACGGTGCAACTACTGCGCGCAGCGAGCGGGTCTGGCACGCTCGGCCGATCTCCTCAGGATCAGAGAACATCCAGTCGAACGTGAACTCGCGGACGCCCTTCTTCGAGTTCACCTTGTCGACCCATCGATCAGGCCGACATTTTTGCACACGTAGCCGACGTCGTAGCCCATCTCGAACGTTGCTGGTCCTGATCGATTTTAATATCATCGAAATCATCCTGCGTAGATGTGGTAGATCGTCCTCCACATACGCTGGTAGGACGAGCGGCGGTGCATTGAACGGTGCCAAACGATGCAGACGTAGTAAGTACTCGATTACCATGATTGCCGCCATGCGACGAGCCCCGCCTGGAATAAAATCAGTGACCAGCTCCCCATGCACGGTGCGAGAAGCCAGCAATCGCGTCAGCACTCCGTGACGGGGGGAAAGTCCACGCATGGGCGGTAGGATGCACAATGAGCGATAAAAAGGTTGAAGAAGCCTTCCTCGAAGATGCTGATCGGGCCAGATATGCGATCTTCCACCAACATGAGCCTCTGGAT